GCGACTGGATCGAGTGGTTCGAGGTCTCCCATAATGCGACAGGCATTGCGTTCTGGTCTACAGCGCTCCGATTCACAACGCAAAATCCAATTCTGAATCAGCAGACTGGGTCTAGTCCGGAAATGGGAGTTGAGAACTCGGAAGGTCCCGTAATAGGAGAGATCGTGATGGTAGGCGTGTTCAAACGAGGCAACCACATGTTTTTTGAACCGTCTTCAAATTCACGGAACAAAATTCCTTTCGGCCATGTATCCGATCTAAGAGCAGCTTCGCGTAGTTTGGGATCCATTCCGACTTTGTACGAGATGAAGCTCATACGGCTGATGTCGGATCCTTTTTTGACTAGCGGCACAACCTTAATCGGATCTTCGCACTGTACACAACCTTTCACCAGCTTCTCGATTGATTCCGATTTCACGCTAGGATGAATACGAGAAAGGTACAGCCAAAACAGCTCAGCTTATCACCAATCGATCAGAAATATGCCTACGCATCGATAACAATTCCGAATGTTGATTTTCAACAAGAAACTATTGAAAAACTGGTAAATGTCCAGCATTGTCCAAAAGCGTCGAATTAACTAATAAATCCATCAATTACCTACATGCATATGCTGCTTCCCCAGCACAGTCGTCAGAGAGTAGTAAGTAGACGAAACAAGTCGAGGTGGCATTCGCTTCCAATCCTCGGGCGCGTGCGAATAGGGAGGATGGAATTGCGTAATATTTTGCACACTCATCGCCATACTCAGAACCACACGCTCCCAACGACCACACCACTGTGTAGTGGTGTTCGGTCGTCGAAATTAGTAGCAGCAGTAGCAGCAAAGATGAATACTAAGATGAAACTGTCGGAAGAAAAACTTTCTATTTTAGTGCCCTCTTTCACGGTCCCTTTCATCCAATGAATACCCCCCGTATTCAAGGTAATTTTGTGGTTTTGCTGCCCCCTCGGTTAAGATGAAATTTTGCGCTCATTTTGATCAAAACAAACACACCAAAATCAGAGGTGTCCCATTTTTTAATTACTCGATTAACAACTAATCGATTTTTTTTTGTTCGCTGTGCTGCCATTTTTCCACCAATGAGAGTGCAGCACATGTTTGAAACGATCGGTGATGATCCTCTGGAGAAGTTAATGCTTATATCGGCATGATATAACCGATTACAAATATTTTACTTTTCGGTTCGTTAATCGATTAATCGATAATTCGAATGAAAATCGGCCATCACTAGATGAATGTGAAACGTCATTTCAAATATATGGACCGTTCATAAATAATGATACAATTTTAAAGGGACCGGGGCTCATCACAAATTACGTCCACACGGTAACTGAAATAAACACGAGTGTTCACTGGTTGGTAGCAGTGCTTTCGGTGTGTGGCGTTGAAAATTGTTCTCCTGTAACAACGAAAGGCTGTAAGCAGCGAGCCGCTAAGCTATGGATCGGAATCAGTAGCTCTTCGCGAGTCGCTGCGGGTCGGTCATCTATGCCAAACGTGTCACCCTCGCTCCAAACGACATACAGCTCGACAGCCTCATGCGTGTTGAACACCCAGCTCAGAATTACTCAACCATCACTACAAAACGGTCCTTTTCAGGGCCACCAAAAATTTGTTAAAGAGTATTATTTGGACATTGGTCAAGGTCATCAGTTCCCGCAAGCAGCTAGCTATCAAGGCGCAACCTGTCTATAGAAGGTGTGGAATTTTAGGCCTGAATATATTGGTGCAATTAGTTTTTCCTCGGCTTTCATTCCGCACGATTCGTTTCTTTCGTTTAATCAATCACCCTTGTAGTGACGTCGAAAAGATTGTTTCAATCGGCGCTTACATATGAAATTTAATGTGGATTATAGAATTTTTTGTATGTTACCAAAATTTATGAATGGTTTGCCACTAAATGTTGAGATAATTTATTGATTATTGAATTATCACACTGTATACCATGAAAAAGCAGCCTGTTTGTGAGTTTTTGCCTGTTTTCAAGTAAGGAGTTATCATAAAAAACAAATCACCACCGGGTATTTCCCGGCGACTTTACAAATAAATAAAATCAAACAAAATCATCATGCAGAACTAGCTAGGATTGGTTTTACTTCATATTTCACAAAATTGCTTTCGAGTGTTAAGACATCGTCTCCCGCAAAGTTTACATTTTTCCCTCTACCAACACATACATCAGGGCTAGATTCGTATCTATAGAATCCACGCAATTTCAAAAAACCAAAATGCACAGCATTACGAAAATAGGTCAGGTTTCGACCAATAGCAGATAGATTTTAATTCTAAACAAGCCAAACGATTGGAAATGTATCTACCAATCTGCCAAAATGAACACTTAGTTAATTTTCAATAGGTCACAATTGAAAAATACCAAATGTTCAACTGTTGCAATGGTGATCAAAATTATCGCCGAATGTCTGAAAACAGCGCATTCAAATCGAATTCGATGCGGTCCCACTGAACGGTGCTCATTCAATCACCGTAAGTAGTGGTGTCCAGTCCAGCAGCAGCAGCAGAAGTGCTTTCAACAACAACAACGAAAGGCTGCCTGCAAGCAGCGAGCTGCAGAGCTCATATGAGCAACCATAGAGAAGGAGGAAGAAGCCCCACCGCTAGGCTAGGATCGGAATCAGTAGCTCGTCGTGCTCAGCTCAGCATTACTCAACCATCACTCAGAACGGTCCTTTTGAGGACCAACATAAATTTGTTAAGAGTATTATTTGGACATTTGTCCCGCAAGCAACTAGTTATCAAGGCTCAACCTGGTCTCTATAGAAGGTGTGGAATTGTAGGCCCGAATGTATTGGTGAGATTAATCGTCGTCTGACCATTTTCCAGAACACGCTTGTAGGAAGTGTTAAAAATCCATATAGAATTTGAGAGAAGTGGGAATAATTCGCTTTGGGTGCATATTCAGTCCCCAGAAAGCCAAGAAAATCATATTTGTGAGAAAATTAGCTCTCACGAGTTCAATCTCTCGAAGTCCCTCCTTTTTTACATATTCTGCACAAACAATACTTTCCACCCCGCCCCATTCATATAATTCGGAAGGAAATCCTGTGAGGGGTGAATTGAATACACTTTAATACCAAAATGCACAAAACTTAAAAATTCATAAATAACAAAAAATTTAAAATACACCTTTTATAGTCGAGTAGATGAATCGAAAATACTCAAGTTGACAGTCCCTTGGATCAACTTTCTCTTTGAAATAAATACTGCAAATTTGATACGCTTACAAATAAAAAACGGAAAGAGTTAAGAAATTGATGATTGATCAATTAAAAGAACTAAATGGTCACATTTGTTCCGTCCACTAGCGGTCCTACGTCAAGCTTCCGTTCGTGCCCCTAGGCACAGACCCTTCTACTTTTTTTACATGAAAATATTCATCAATGCACGTAAAATTTGATCACGTCATTAGTTAAAAAAACTGGTTGCCCCAATTTGCAAATTATCCACCAAAATATCGTATGTTTTGAACACATACACGCTCTTAACATGTTGCATTTGTGAGGTATCGTGTTGAAATATTCTAGAAAGTTGCTTGTTTTGGTAAATGAAAAAACTCTTTCAAACATAGTATGCCATGAAAAAATCAAATAAAAAAGTTGTGGTTGAAAAAACGATTTGAAGGGACCTTCCTTAAAAAATACTTCATATCTCAATGAAAACGACGATTTAAACCATTGATGTTTTCAGCAATGTTTGTGGAACTGATAAGATCTACAACTTTGTGGAACATTTTATTTTCCTAAACCGCAAAGAAAAAAAGTTAGAATATTATTTTTTGTCCTAAGGGATTTAAATTATGGACGACCCCTTCATCAGATGCGCCTTTTTTCAAATATAAACTTGTCTCGAGACACCAACTTGATTAAACTGCATCTTTATGCACTTATTTAGTTTTTACCTGAAAAACACCCTCCTGGACCACTGTGCATTGATGTCAATGAAAAGCATTGGTGTATTCAGCAAAGTTGTATATTTTAATGATGCCAACAATTTCTTAGAACATGATAAATTGATCAAATTTGAAAAAAGCACTAATTAGCTCAAAAAACCAATATTAAAGTAGTCTTAAAAGAAAATCTATTATAGCTCTACAGAGTTATGATGTAGAAATTTGGTGTCTTTGGCAAATGTTCATAAAATCAACTGCTTTGCAACTTTGTCCAAGTCATGGAACCATTATCTCGTAACTGGAAAAAGTTAGAATTTGGATGTGTAATACTAGCTTAAAAATTATTCAGGGATTAGTTTCAAGAAGTGATTATTTTCATCGGATTCCCCAACTAACCATATTATCGCAAAGTGAGTATATACAAAGCTTTATTGCGACTATATGGTTACTTGGGTACCCATAGGCCATCAGAATGGTTCATCGGTTGCAAATTCAGGCATTTTTTTTTTTAAATTATGCATTATGTTTCTTAATGTTTTGACTGTATCCTATTTTAGTTCAAAATTATATCTTCACTACCCAAACAGCATTGTACACCTTATGAAAGTTTCAAAACCTTCTTTAAGTTTAAATACTGGTGTAAACAACTCTTACAAAGTCAAAGTTGCTGCTTGGGTATTGCAACTACGGGTAATCATTGAAAGTACTTGCATTTTGCTCAGGCACTTTTGAGCAAACTGTAACCACCTTCTCATACTCGAAATGTGCCTCGACCAATCTGGTACAACGATGCCCTATACGCTCTCTGACCAAAGCGCAGGGAAGGCAGGAACAATGTAAAAACACTTAGATATATATTATAACAATTAAGGCTGGTAAGTTACTGTAGTAACTGGAGCAATGTATTTTTTTTTAAATTTGGAACAAATATAGAGTTATAAAGAGCTTTTAGCGGATTTTATTTATAGTTCAACCCTGCAACTATAAGAACTGTTGAGACCTCACACCCACTATTTCCTTATGTAGTTTATGGATGACCCTATACGAGAAAAGGAAATACCACAGATATATGGATTAATCAGTTTTTTTTATTAACAATGTCCAATTTTGTCAGACGCACTCAAATAAGATATAATTTACTGAGAAATATATAATAGACCTATTCAGGTAGGTTAGAAAAATGAAGTTCCTCTGTATCCCCGTAGCAACGGCGTTTGAAATCGCCAATGCTTTTAGGCAAATTAGTATGGTCCACTCTTACCGACTGCATCGTGTTACTAAAAAATTAAAAGAAACGAATCAAACAGAGCAACGTGATAAACTTTATGTGTATTGATATAAATCTTACCTCGTTTTGCTCAATACAACACATCCATTGTCTACCTGCATTGTCAATGAATATAGTTTTGACAAACCATACAAATTATCGTGTTCTGTTGCATTGATGTCAAATAGGGTGAGAACTTGTTGCTGATCATTTTGAAGGAATCTGAAATCAAATATAAAACGATTAAACCATGCCTAGATCTGGATACATAACTTAAACAACCGTCAAATAAAAGGTACCATGGTTCCATAGAACGCTGTTTATTATTTTTGGAATCATTCAACTGGAGATATAATCGGAACATCTTTCGTTTAATACGGGACTAGATTAGAAGCTATCTAAAACGTGTCAACAAATCATGCGATACCTCAATAAAAGAATATTTTTTTCGTAGTTTGCTAGTGCCACCCTGTTTTTCTTTGTAATACCGCTATCTTAGTTCCGTATAATAACGCTGGCGCCAAAACTGTATTATATATAAGCTTTCCTAATTCCCAGCTCGGATGAAATCTTGTACAAAAATCTACTACTAATCTTGAAGTTTTCAAAGCGTTTATAGATCTATGCCTATTGGTTAAATTCCTGTTTAGGGTTGCTGTCAGACAAACTCCTAAATACTTAATATATTCACTAGTTTCAAAAGCAGTTCCATTAAGCATTAATTCGTTTGGCTGTACTGCTGTGTCATTTGGGTATCTAACTAAAATTTGACTTTTTTCCCTATTGATTTTAATAGTACGTTCAGACTACAGAGTTATAACATGTTATAGCGCTATCTTGATGGTGGTTTCTGTGTTGCAATTATTTGACAACCGTTATAACATGTTATAACTCTCCAGTCTGGACAGCGTTTAATAGTACGTTCAGACAACAGAGTTATAACATGTTATAGCGCTATCTTGATGGTGGTTTCTGTGTTGCAATTATTTGACAACCGTTATAACATGTTATAACTCTCCAGTCTGAACAAGGCATAAGACCTACTTTGGATAGCTCCTCTTCTAGTACTTTAAGAATATTCTCTAATAGTACGTTCAGACTACAGAGTTATAACATGTTATAGCGCTATCTTGATGGTGGTTTCTGTGTTGCAATTATTTGACAAGATAGCGCTATAACATGTTATAACTCTAATCCAAGCTAATCGATTCACCTCTCGAAACATAGGAAAAACCAATAACCCCTCATTTTGTCTGTCAAACTTCCATAGCCAATCAAAACAAACATTGCGTAGTACTAGAATTTCGACTAGAATGGGGTACGTTAATCGTTTGCTTGGGACCAATAGGCTAGTCAAGTAGTGAGCCAATTTAAAATCGTTACTTTCGTATTGATTGTTGGTATTAGCTTGATATTCCGAGCTGCGATATAACAGCTTGCAATATCAACCGCAGTTGTTTGTTTGTTGATTTTTGTCTACGAAAATCATGCGTGTTCATTGGTGAGATTTGATTTTTTGATATTTTCCCAACACTTGACCCACCTGTCGACCTACTATGAGCATGAGCATTATTTTTAAAATAATTATACACAACTATACACAAACTACACTGAGAATAATATTTCGTTTATAAAACAAAATCGCTCGTTAGTTCGACGAATCCATTCGTTGTTATCTGCAACGAAAGAGATTCGTACACTTTACGAAATTAATTTCGTTAAAACTGTCACAGTTCGTGTGTATAGAAAAATGAACGAATCTCGTATGCTCAATATTGAATGCGTGCATTGTACGAATATAGAACAAAAGGCAACGGAACTTAAGTAAAAAAAATCGGATATCACTGTATGTACAAATTCATATCGTACGAACGTGTATCTACTTTTTAATGTCACAAATGAAATTAAATTGATAATTATCGCCCTCCACATGATCGATGAAGGCGCAACCATACTAATGCCAATGGGTACTAAATAATTACTTTATCCAGAAGGCCTGTATTACTTGAACATTAATTTCCCTCCAGTAGTACCAGTTCCTGAAAATCCCATCTCCTAAAAAAAAACTACAAGGGTCAGCCTAATGGGGATGTACGAACGTAGGGGCTGGCTATCACGCTCACATATTATGTTAACTATTTTGATGGAACGTTATTTAAAATTCTCGATATTATTATGACTTCCGTTGATTTCTTCCGAAGTGTAATAATTCATCAGTGTCCATTTTCTGTTTATTACCAATAAGATTCTTTTTCAGTTCATGTGTAATTATTCTAGTGTTAAAAAATATTCCAAACAAACTCTTTTTGAAAATTGTGGTGGCCCTGAAAAGGCTGTTTCGATGGTTTGTGGCTCTGAAAAGAGCCGTTTTGTTGTTTTATGGCCCTCAAAAGGACCGTTTTGGTGATGTAGATTTAAAATTAAAGGTATGTAAGGCAACGCTGTTGTAAAAGGATGCTGTAATGTTTGTCTTCTTTGCATCACAGCCGGCGTTCTTATCAACTCACCGATTCCAGCAGCCAAGTAGACTAGGGCACCGGTACCCAGGCTCGGCGTAGTTGTTCTTCCAGAGCATACGATGGATGTGACCGACGATGAACTGTAGTCGAGCACAGCAAAGCATCTCCTTCACCAGAGTTCTTAAGGCGGATACAGGAATTTAAAAATTTGATAACCTACCTACTTGAGCACAGGAACCTACCTAACTACTTGAACTAGGTTGCCAAATCACGAATGATCTGGTGGTTTGATCGCAGACAGGCGAGTTTGAACCTTTCCAGCGTGGACGTCTTTCGCTCCTCGAGTGTTTGAATCTCAGAATTACGGTGGACTTTTAAGTATCATTCTGAGGATCTTGTTTTGGATCCTCTGAAGTTTTACGTGGTGGCACTTAGCACAACTCTCCCAGATTGGCATACCATACTCAATAGCCGGCAGAATGATATGCTTGTGGACAGCAAGCTTGTTTTTGAGGGACAGGGTGGACTTCCTGTTTATCAGAGGGTTGAGTGACCTGATCAAGATGTTACTTTTGGTGGATGTCTTGTCCACATGGGTTTGGAATAGCAATTTGCTCTCGAGCTTGAGACCAAGGTAGACTACTTCACTCGACCATTCAATGGGAGATCTATCAAGATGGATCTTGACGTTAGCAGGCGGAACAAGCCGAGGTGAATTCGAGTGTGGAAACACAATCTTTCAGCTCTTGAAATAGTCGGACAGAACATCTAGGCCAGATTGTAGTTTCACTCGACCCTTATAGATGATTTGTGTATCCGGTTAGGTGTATATAGTAGTTATAAGTTAGTTGTAGTTGTAAATAGTAGTTATAAGTAGTATCCTTTTTCCAATTAAAAACAAACCAATCCCACCAAGGTGGTCATACTCTAAACAGGTGTGATAGGACTAAGAACTGTAAATAATAAAATTTTAAATGTACTAAAGTTGAAAAGACGCATCTGTGTCACTTGATAATTCATACAATACAAGAAATAAAGAATGCATACAAATACAAGAAATAAAGGTAATTTAAAGTCAAAAAGGAAATTAATGTTGTTGCCCTAAAAAGAACGGTTTTGGTTTGCGTGGATGGTTGTCGGTCGAGCGGGAAGCAATTGATTTCCTAAGCTCACACGGGGTTTGCTTCTGGCAAAATTATGAAAATTAACTTTTTAAGGAGAAATATTTTTGTCACCCTGAAAATAACGGGTTTAGTTTGATGCGCATGGTCATCTGTTGAGCGGCAAGCAAATTACCCGGCTGTTGCCCCTAGGAAAAAGCGCAGCTTTGATATTAGACGGATCTCCACTTTAAGATGAAAAACACGCAAGTTCGTATTCTTCTGGCAGCGGCGGGTTTGATGCACGATACCGGGTTGTTCGATCTTTGTCGTGGTTGGGGAATTCTGAGATCTGTAAGCACTTTCTCCACGGATACGGTGAGCTAGTTTGATGTTCTTCGGCATGATGATGACGCACTTGATGAAGATGGCCCACTGTGGTGTTTCTCACGATGCGCAACTGTACCCGAACAGTGGTGGAGTGGCTTCTTCACTACTTCTCTGGCTAGAGCGCTCTTGCAGGCAGCCTTGGTAGCATGCTGCTTGCGGGGAGTCTGTCCACCGGTCTGCATGTCGTGTGTTGGGCGATCGATATGAACACGTCCGAAGTTTCAAAGGAAATGCGGCTTCGGCTTGTTTCGTTTGGGATCAACTATGTGATGGCAGTGTTAGGAAAGACACCTTGTGGTCTAAGCATATGTATGGGAAATTTTGATGCTACCAATTTTAGTTAAAGTTCTAAGCTGTTTAACTATTTTTATTATTTATACTATATGCCACAAAATTGCTGAATGAAGCCCCGTCGAATGGCTTTGGAGAAATATGCGTTCAAAACCTAACCACTTTTTATTACATGTTCATTTTTCGTACTCGCAAAGTGTATCCCCGTATATAAAACAAAGACGTAGTTCTACGTCAATAAGTACAAAGGGTGGAATCTCACCATAGATGGATAAATTCATGTTTTTATGCCCTCTTTCTATATTTAACCCGGCAACAACTGAACCGCCGAGGGACCACAACTATGGTCCCAGAAAAAAAATTCCAGTTATCGCAGTGGTCATGGTTGATTGACGGAAATGTTTTTTTTTTCGTTTCGTTTATTTGGCAGGCTCAAATGTTAAAAAATAACTTAGCGGAGCCGAGTAACATGGAATACCAATTTTGGTACTCAAAATACAAACAAAAGATATACAAATGCATATTATTAAAGGATTTTCCTGGGTGGCGATCGAAGCGGCGACTAAGTAATCTTCTCCCGTGCACTCAACTTCTTTCTTTCCGAATTTTTTCCTCATTTTCGTTGAACCCGAATCGTGATTGCTGCTACTGCATCTGAACATCGTTTCCCTTTGCATGCTCTCCGCTACTCTCGTCGGTCGTCGCGGTCGTCACGTCCATTTCGTTATCTTCATTCAACATCTCCAACCCCGTGTTCGTTTCCTGGTCGCTAATGACAAACGACGCACCTTTCACCACTACACCAGCATACGTACTGCTGCTGTTTTGTTTTCTTTCACTTTGCTTTCCTTTTTCCTTTAGTTGCTTCTCCGGTTCCTTCCGAGCCTTCCGCTTGGGACAGGAAAGCTTCCGGTGTCCGTCCGCCTTGCACAGAAAACATTTATCTTTGTTGCCATCATAAAAAATATTTTCTTTGCGATTGAAGAAATACAATGACCTGATTTCCTTCTTCACATCCATATATATACCGCGTATCCCTGTATATACCTCAAATCACAGATCAGATGGATGCGTTTAATTTTTCCATATTTTCCCAGCACTTTATCCAGCTCGTTGTCCGGTACCTCTGGTGGCAAGTCATACACACGCACATACTGGATAAATTCACCAGCATGCGACATGCGTACCTTTGCCGTCGTTCCATTCGCACAATGGAAGATTAAATCGTCCGAATTGTATGTCAGAGCATGGAGCATCGCTTCCTCTGATTTGAAAATTATGAAGACTCCCCTTTCCTCACCAATGCGATAAACAGCTTCCATTTCAGCCGGATCCGCGTCGAGTGCTTTGGCGAAATTTACAATCTCTCCGATGTTTGGTTTAGCATCATAATGGCTGAAGCTAAACTTGATGGTGTTTTTTACTTCACACATCAAACTCGAAAACAGGCTATCGCGTGGTTCACACCGAAATAAAAATTCGACTGCTGCTGTAGACAGCTGTGGGACAACTGATTTTCTTTTTAGAACGCCTTATTTGAGATTTAAAGTCACCACAATTGAAGATGACTCTAGACATGTTGGACAAACTGCAAGACTTCTCAGTAGAACTCGCATTTTGGTGTGAGGGTACACAGCAAAAAAAAAATGTAATATCGATCAATGTAATTCAAGCTGATGTATGAAATAATGATGTAATAGCAAAAAGCAGATACAATATTACATCAATGGATGTAACTTTGTTCGCAAAATCGATGTACATCGTATAACGTTATATTACACAACCGACGGATTGACCTGGTTGCAGCAGTTTGGATGTAATATTCAACAACTTTTTTTCTGTGTAACAATACAATTGAACAATGGTCAAGCAGTTTATGCCCAGTTTTGAATCAGTGATAAAAAAATCGGGCCAAAACTTTGATGTTTAAAAGGAAAACATGTCAAAGTATTGCGGGCCTCCCTTAGCTCAGTCGGTAAAGACGCAGCTACAAAGCAAGACCATGCTGGCGGTGGCTGGTTTCGATTCCCGGTCCGATCTAGGAATTTTTCGGGTTTGAAAATGTCTCGAATTCCCTGGGCATAGAGTATGATTGTGTTTGCAACACAATTATACTTTTTTATTTTTTTTTTCGAGAGTTGACCAACTGCAGTCTTAATAGGCTAGCATCTCGGTTGGTCAATCGCCGGTCTTCCGCGAACAAAAGAACAATCTTGCAAACAAACTATACTAAATCATAGAGGAACTATTCCTCTACCTGTTTGTGTTATTAGTTTTTCCAGATTGAGCTCCAATCCGCGAGAAACCGGCAAATGACGTGCCGCCTATCTACAAAAGCAACCACGCCCCAACCTCGAAGCTCTCCGGAAATATGTGATAAATCATGTAAATATAAATGAAATACAGTAATGTCCGGATTTTGTCAGCCCCCTTTTTTGAAAATGTTTTCCAATATTCTACAAAACCCATGCCCTATTGCACCAAAGTATACTTTAAATATCCCTCTTAACAATGAATGAGAAAAATTTAGATTTTACACCGTGAAATTATTGAAAGAAAAAAGTCTGAAGCACGGAGGGGCTGACAAAATCGGGTCATTAATGTATTTAAAATAAATAAATTCATTCTTACCTTTTTATGGTTGTTTGATTATTATTTGCTATTATTACCTGCTTAGAGTTGGCTCCTTTAAAATATTGTGTAGAATTTCCTTAATTATTCCCAGGCTCCATCGATTTTCGTTCCTGCGTGGTTTTTGTGATATAACCACGCTCGGCGTATTACCCTGTAGTACGACTTGGGCGTGCACCATGCAAGTAACTCATCTCTCGTCAAGATGATGGGATATAGGGTATTGGTTACATTAACCTACCATGCGAAACTGTCACTGCTACTATGTTAGAGGTATGACCCGTCAAGTTTCGAAGTGCAAAAAAACTGTTAGAATTTTCTTATAAATTAACTTTACACTCAAAGCAAGCTATTTACCTTAGCATTACAAAAGCGAATTTAAAATTACTATTTTATTCTATGCTAATATTAAAATTATGATAAAACTACAAATAATAACTGTGGAAGTGCACCTTGAACACTAAGTTGAGAGCACGCAATAAGCTTGAATAAGCGATATGCAATAAGCTTGAAATGCGAGGAATAAGAAGAATATGTCGAACTATTAGTTAGTTTCGGTTTTCATTAACTATTTATTCGAACAAATCTACGAATTAATTCAAGTGAAGTGCTTATTTTACGAAATTGATATTTTTCCTTCAGTTCCCTTACGTACCTTGCTAGGAGTTCGTTTGCACTGGAAATAATGGAAAATCCTGGTCGCTCATCCCGTATTCGCCGGCATCCTGCTCTTATCTCTCGGATGTCGGAATAAATATCTTGTGAAGAGAAGTAGTTGTTGGACATTTCAGCGGTGGACTCAAACCGACTGGTCTGATTGTACCCGCTGGATATAATCATTGAGTTTTGTTGATCCAATGGAAGGTCTTCTGATGAACCTGGTGAATATTTCACGTTACCATGGTTGTGTGATGGTGCACCCATGTCGTTAGTCTCGTAACCTGCTAATTTACGAAAAACGTTATCATCGGTAGACATCAAGGTATCATCATCCTGAATGTCGTCTTGTTGTTTAATTTGAGGAAGCGAAGGTTTCATAACGCGTGCCTTATTGGCCCTTTTGAAATCATTCTTTGAGGTAAAATTTACCATCCCTTCGTTTCCAGGCCAATCGGTAAGTTCATCATCACCTTCATGGTCGGATTCATTGGTGTTGACGGCTTCTGAATCACTCGAACTTAAGGAACTTGAGCTTAACAAATCGTTCATATTGCAACTCATACGGTCGTCGAATTGTAGTTGCATCATTTCCTGCTTCTGACTGTGTTTCACTTTATGTGATTTTGAGGCACGTTTGCTTTTCATGCGACGCGTCTGTATGTCGCTGCCAGGTTCGAAGCTATTTGTCTTTTGTGTGGTTGGAAGTATAGTCGTTTGAGAAGTTGATGAGTCGTCCGTTTGGAGAGATAATGCTTGCATATTTGAAGGAAACACTGGCATGTGTTTAGAACTAATTTCGTTCTCGTCAGAACAGCACATTGAATCTACTTTGTTACTGTGTAGTTCAATCACCGACGCGTCCATCACGTCTACTTTTTTACTAGACGGTGTGGAAAACTGGAAACACAGTTTAAGGTTTCGTTCCGATGTTTGAGACATTTTCTCAATTTTAGAAATAATGCTTCTGTTCAACGTAACACCAGAAGAAAAGGATGATGCTCTGTTGCGACCTTTGCCCTCAAGGTATGAAGAAGATTTCGGAGCAAACAAATCTCGTTGTCGAGGTAAACTGCTAGAATGCTGTTTGTATGATTCATAATCAAAATATCGATCACGATGGCTTCGTTTTCTTTTTCCGCAGAAAAATATGTTGCCTCTGGAAATAAAAAAAAAAAAAACAAATTTTGTTGCATTTATTAAGTGATGGATATTTTGAATTAAGATAGAAATTTAAATACGTGTATTGACTAGTGTATGGGAAAAATATAAATTTTGAAAATATTACAATACACTACAAACTGTGGTCAAAATGCACGGAATTAGTCGACTGGCGAAATTATGGCACTTGACGGTAGGTAGTCGAGCAATTTTGAAATGGCCTTCTACTGTAAAGTGCCCTAATTTCACACAGCGCCTAACATGTTGTAGTTGTAGGGCTCGACAAAGTCATTTTCAATTCAAATCGTCAAGCGACGGCGAAGCTAACAACCATCACTTTCAATTGAAAGTCATTATGTCTTCTCTTCAACATCAACAAAACCACTTTCGATCAGTTTTCATGCTGTTTGTTTTTGCATCGTTTGTATTCATATCGTTTTTCACTGTCAAATGATGTGCATGTGTACACGATATTTCAAAACTACTCAAATTTGGGTAGAATCCACCCAGATCGGTCAAAACTGAACCCACCAAAAAATGGGTAAACTGTGTTGGGAGTGACAAGTTGACAATTGAACAACATCGACATGAATCCGATCGACGAAAGGATTCGGCTCGGTTTGTTTGACCTTTTGAGTGGCAATAAGCTACTACTACGGTACTCACTGTCGGTCAGTTTTCACAGTTATCGAAAGTGCCACTCCAGTTGATGAGATATTTATTTTGGGTGACTTCAATCTGCCAGGAGTTTCGTGGAGTCCATCTCATAGCGGATTCCTGCATCCAGATCCTGATAGCTCTACATTTCACGCAGCATATTCGCATAACAGTGCCATGTCCTGTGGATTTCCTATCTACATAGGACTGCTATACGAATTGCGGCAGTATTAGCCTTCTCGATAACTACAGCCATCAAATTAACCATGTAGTTAACGAAAATGATCGTAATTTGGACCTTTCATTCGTGAGCACACAGGACAGGGCTCCATTAATTTCCGCTGCTCTGCACTATCTAAGCTAGCTCCACATCACCCTCCTGTAATTGTCACTGTTGAAGACAAACTCGTGCGTGATTTCGACGATTATCCTGGTACGGTTTCATATAACTTCCGTAAAGCTGACCTCCGTAGCATCATAGATGTATTGTCCAGCATGGTATGGGAGAACATTCTTGATCCAGATGACGTTGAGGCTGCTGCGCAAACCTTTTCACATGTCTTGGCATATGTCATTGACAGACACGTCCCGAAAAGAACTCACCACAAAGTGTCTCACCCTCCCTGGCAGACGAGAGAGCTACGTAGGTTGAAGTCAATCAAGAGAGCAGCATTGACAAGATTTACGAATTATCGCACGTTTCCTCTGAAACTACATTTTCTGAGGCTGAATCACATGCACCAGCGAGTCAGTCGTGAATGCTTTTCATGTTTCCAACGAGGCATCCAGCACTAACTTAAGCTACACCCGAAATCGACGACCATATTATCTGCCAGGAACGTTCCAGTAAATGATCAAACGCTGGGTGCAATTGATGTTAATGCTGAGATGATTTCCAAGGTCGCGACTCTGCTCAAGTCATCCTTCAATCCTGGACCTGATGGAGTTCCATCTGTATTTTTGAAGACATATTGTTAGCTTGTTAATTCCGCTTCATCGTCTGTTCCGCATATCTCTCTCCAGTGGCATATTTCCATCATGCTGGAAATTTGCGCACATATTCCCCGTCCACAAAAAAGGAAGGAAACGAGCTGTGGATAACTATCGAGGAATTACATCGTAAGTGCCGTTTCGAACCTATTTGAGCTAGTGATTATGGAACCGTTGCTGTCCCATTGCAAGCAGTATTTGAGTGCTGATCAACATGGGTTTACTGTCGGCCGCTCTACAACAACCAATCTGCTGTGTCTCACATCGTATATAACCGAAAGCATTTCGGATCGGGTTATTTTTTCAGACCTATCCGTAGCATTCGACAAGTTGAAACATGCTATTGCTATTGCTAAACTCGGCAGGCTCGGTGTATGCGGGTACTTCAACGACATGCATCTGGTCATCGAAGCTCCTAGGTTATCGTATGAAGATGAATTCCATAACTGACTGTCACTTTCTTCAACGTCAGCTGAATGTATTCGCTAGTTGGTGCAGTTTAAACAGAATGGTAGTGAACTCAGCCAAATGCACCGCTATTACGTTCTCACGAAAACAACAAATGATTATATTTAGCTATGACCTGCTTGGCATTTTATATGTTGTCGATAAAGCGTCAAGAACTTTAGGGTTCATTTTTAGGATAGTTAAAAACTTCACCGATATCCACTGTCTAAAATCTCTCTATTGTTCGCTTGTTCGATCGACGCTTGAGTATTGTTCAGCGATTTGGAACCCAAACTACATCAACGGTGCCAAGAGAATCGATTCTGTTCAACGTTGCTTTTTTTGTTTTGCGTTGCGTAGATTGCCTTAGAATGATCCGTTTCGATTACCTAGTTACGAAAGCCGTTGTCAACTTATCGACCTAGAACTTTTCCGGACTAGAAGAGACACAAGCAGAGCCCTAACCGTGGCCGATATCCTGCAAGGAAGGACAGATTGCGAGGCTATCCTGAGGCAAATTGACCTGAATGTTCAACCCCGACCGCTTCGTAACAACCTTATGCTCAGACTGCCTCTACGTCGCACACATTATAAGCATACGCTTTGCGGACTGCAGAGAATAATCAACAGAGTTGCATCTGTTTTCGACTTTCATCTCTCCCGTGATGCGCTTCGTCGAAAGTTTTGTTCTGTTTTTCGCCGGCAGGAGTAGGGGTGGGGGTGGGGGGGGGGGGGGGGGAGTCCTCTATGCTCGGACACTTTTTGTTTTTCAGCAATAACTAAAAAAGTACTGGATTTCAGGTGTTTACTTTCCCATTTATTTCAAGAGAAACAATATCGTAAGTAAAAAAAAAAAAGCAAAAAAATAAACCCTTTGCAATTTGAAATAAATCATGGATACAATTTGTGTGGGAATCAAATCATTCGAAAAGTGTCCCCTATGGCCGGACACAGTGTCCTCTATGCTCGGACACGAAGGTCTGCTTTGTTAAAGCTTACACCATTGGTACAAGAAGGCCAAGGGACGCTTTAATATTCCTGCGCAAGCCTTGTGGGTCCAGTCTTTGCACGTTGAGCACCTTATGAAGCCTTCCTTATCCGATTTCTGGCAGACTAGGCAAACGCGCTTAAGAGGTTTTTTTGCCAAGTGGTTTTCTTTGTTGCTCTCGCATAATCTTTTGGTTTGATTCCGCCCTTTACGAAGATCTTGCATGGACTCCTTAATTCTCTTTTCTTTTTCCTTTTCCTCTACCAGCGTTCTGTTGGAAAGTGATGTCAAAACTTTGCTTTTTCTGACTTCCGCTTCCTAGATTCCGAACGCTTCTGGACGGCATCGGGTAGTGGTGACAGTTTTTGAATGCTTGCGGTAGCACAAGTAGCAGAACAGGTTGATGGATTGACAGCGGCATCTTTTACGAAGATTTCTTTTGGACCAGTTGCAGACTCTTCCAACGGAATGTTTGTAAAATCACATGGTAGGAAGTCGATGTCCGAGAAAATGTGTTTATTGAACGGATGAATTCCCGTACACTGGAAACCCGAAACTGCAAGATCTGTTCGTGCTACCTTCACGTATACCTCACCTACGAGGCCAGCAATATCGTAGTCTGTAATCCGTACTCCTGCGTTTTTCCGCATCCACACTTCACAGCGTTCATGGTAAGCATTCTTGAACGGTTTCATGAAAGTCCGGTCTAGTGGTTGCAGCTTGTGACTTGTATGTGGCGGAAGACTTAGCTACTGCTCCTCGTATTCAGTTGAAAACGTCTTCTTGAATTCACCGGCTTTGTGATCCTGTGAACGATATCCTTACCGGTTCTGAGGCAGCTGATACGATCTTGCAGTGTGCTTTTAGGTATGCCATATTTTACGGCGGCCTCTCGTATACTCATTTGCTTTTTTTTTATTCATTTTATTTATTTGTAAGGCTCAACTGTCGAAATCAACTCTACGGAGCCAATAGTCTAGGGAATAAGTTTACAATTCATTAGAATTAAAAGTTATTCGGATTCAGGGCCAGAGCGTGGAGAGTTGGGGCGTAAAGTTTTTCTCGGTGGTGAATTTTCACTGGCGTGCTTCTGTAATTTTTGTTGTTCTTTGATCAGTTTGGTGTGTGTTTTCACGTGCTCTGTCCAATTTCCAACTGTTTGTTTGTGTCGCTGCTGGTAGTGTAAGACCGTTTGTTTCTGCTGATTATTCTGCTGCCCTCCGTTATCCACTTCTAAGTCCATGGTCGTAGTTGGAGCTACAACTGCATCCTTTTCTTCTTCTTCTTCTTTTTCTTCTTTTAGCATCTCTATTTCGAGTTCTACTGTCTGCTTGTCCGAAGTACTCGTGCCTGCGAGAACGGCAGCAAATGTGTTGTTTTTTTGCCCAGCACCTTCTTCTGTTTCTCCTGTCGATTTGTTCTTCCTCTTTCCGCATGCATTTTTTTTGTGCCCCTCCTGTCCACAAGCGAAACATTTAAGTTTGTTTCCATTATAAAAAAATTCTCCCCCGTCTATTGTGGAAGTACAACACCGATGGGATTTCATTTTCTACATCCATGTAGATTCCACGGACACCAGTAAATAAATCAAGCTGATATTCTGGGGGATACTTCTCTCGAACACAGCGTTTGATTTTTCCGTACTTGATTAGTGCCAGCGACAGATCGTGATCGGATACCTCCGGCGGTAGGTCAAACACTCGTACATATTGAATGTTACTACCGGCTACTGACATGTAGACATCCACTTTTTTCCATTAGAATAATGGAACGGCAGCTTCTTTTCATTGAGCGCAAGGGCTTCTCTCATGCCCTCCTCAGAGTTGTATTTTATATAAACCATTCTCTCCTCTGCATTTTTGTAGGCTGTATCCATCGTTCCCTGGTTACCCGCAAGTCCTTTTACAAAGCGGACCATCTCAGCCAGTTTTGGCTGCGCAGCATTGTCCGGAAAAGGAAACCAAGGGTGTTTGTAACCGAAATACCACTCGACATTTTTCTGTGCACGAATTATTACCACTAGCGCGAAACAACAGCACAGCAAGCAAACAAAGCGTCTTTCTACTAGAAAATCAGATCGTCAACTGAACTCATTTGCTTTGAAAGTATTTTGTTCAGAGAAGTTCTCAAGTCTTCCAAAGACCACGAATTTTGTTTTTTGCGTTCCATATCTACTACTCAACGTCATTACTTCCTGTAACAATAAAAATTCTTAAATTCTACATTATATCCACATTTTATGTTGACAACTTTGTTGTCCGAGCATATAGAGGACACACAACAATTTCGAAAAAAAAAAAATGTTTTCCTCAGAATCCTATATTTTCATACAAAATTCGCATTACATTCAAAAGAAAACTTACCAAAGCCGACGTACAGAAATATTACATCTTTAAATTTAGGAAATATTGACGTCATAATTTGTACACGGTAAAAACATACAGCTTACTATTGTTTCATCATGTCCAAATCTTATTATCACTCTTTGTTTATGGAATATCACTAGTGTCCCCGGACATAGAGGCCGTCCGGCCATAGAGGACTTCCCCCTAACTGACTATAAGATATATGTTTTTTTTTTATGTTTTTTATGTTATGACCATGCTTGAATATATTTTTTTTACTGTAGTTGATAAGGTTTACATCATTGTAAGGTTTACACCATTGGGGCTTCATCCAGCCTGTTGATGTAAAACAACAATAAACAATAAAGAAGATAACATACCGCAAGTTTTCATGATTGAACGCTCGCTTCTTCACGATGACTGGAAAAATTGAACTATTTGCTACAGAGGTTGATGTAAGTGATGGTTCGTATCCTACTGCCATTCTTTTAAACTTGCGTTTTCGTCTCATGTTGGGTCTAAAAGTTAAACGAGTAAATGAGATTAGTTGTTTGATTATGTTTGATTTTAATCATAATCGTAATTATGAAACCTTTTCGTGAATCTGAGTTACCTTGCTGGACTGAAATTTTCATTGAATGAATCAGACTCAAAGTTTCCAGTCGTTTGTCGCGACCGGAATGCAAATGCCAGGGTATGTCGATCATCGGAATCGCTCTGTATATGATTGTTAGCCCCACTTAATTGTGGAGAATTTTGACTCGTATTTATTTCCAACTGGTCAGCTGGGCTGCTGGAACTATCTTCAGTAGGCTGAGGTGCACAGGCTGAAAGATTTAAAAAATAAACATTTAATAATTTCATAAAATGTTAACCCTTACCACCCTGATTAAAAAGTATTATTGTTGGAGTGTTTGGACTTGATACTGACCCAATGCTTAAATGATCATTGTGCTAGTGCTATAGTGTTTCTATTGTCACAATCACCATTATATTAAAGTGAAGTTCACATTCGATTCCCCAATTGAAAAGAAATACTACTTACGTAAATTTCCAGTTGACCGCGTCCTTCTTCGCATTCCCCAGCGGTTTTTAGTTTCACCACAGCGAGATGTCTCTTCCAAAGCAATCGTTAGATCATGTGAGAACTGTTCCATCCTTTTAGGTTTCCTAAAAAAAGAAACCAATATGATTTAAATTTACAAAGCGTTAATAGCAGGGGTAACGGTAAGTCCTAATCCCGATCGATTCTAGCCACGACTTTTTTACACCTATGACACTCTTACTATTTACTAGTTTGTGAAAGGCAATTTAAACTACTGGTAGAAGTAACCCTAATAAAAATACCATTCCCGAACGATAACCCAAATAATTGAACTATTTCACAAATGATTTGAATACTCGTCGTTAAACAAAATAATCATACAAATTTGATTAGGGTAGTAAGCAGTAATGCAATTGCACGATTTAGAATCAAGAAAGTCAACAACATGAAATTTGTTCAGTGATGCCAAATCCGCGTAAAAAAAAAAAGAGAGAGAGAGAGAGAGAGAGAGAGAGAGAGAGAGAGAGAGGGGGGAACTAAAGAATCTATTATTTTGCTTTAGACTGATTACTGAAGTTTTCAACAGTTTATTTTTTATTTTTGACGAAAATTTGTGATTTGTTTTTCAGTGTTTTTTGAATAGACAATCCAGTTTCCTACAACTTTGTCTCAGACATCTTTTCGATTAAATCAAGGCTGGAAGCGGTGGCGGTGGTGTAGTGGTAAGCGTGATTGCGTCGGTAGCATTGGTGCTCAGCACGGAAAACAAGATCGACGGAAAACAAATCAAGGGGAAAAAAAATCTTGGCTGGAAGCGGTTAGTGCCCAACAAAATAGTGATTCTCACTGGCGTGCACAGGGTGAGGATTTTAAAATAAGATTTTTATTTTCACATTTACAAAATTACATAACATAACTTGATTTCTTGATAACTTGATTTGAAGGTAAAATAACTTCATTTCATAATATAAGGGCACTGAAAACCTTTTATTGCGTCAGTTCCTTTGAGATGGTGCCTGAAAATTGCAACAAAGGTGCATGAAGGGATAAACTTCAATGAAATTCAATGGTTATTATTTTTTCAATGGTGTTCATGGAGGGTTAAAGGGTAAATTTAAGGTTGAAAAAGTTCACTTTTGTGGTGGTAAATCGAAAAAAAAGCTTTTTATTGAATTTTCCTGGTGTAAAATTATCATCAAGGTGGAGGGACTAATCAAAATGAATAACTCTGGTGGAAAAAAATGAATCACGCTAAAAATTTGGAGGTGTACATTTAACTGAAAATTTCTGGTGGAAAGTTCGCAACACTGTGGTGAATGTAGAAGCATGGTTTATTCATTTTCTGGTGAATAATTTGCATCGTTCTGATGAATGCAAGCTTAATTGAAAATTTATGGTGGAAAATCTGCACCATGAAGAGGCACAGCCTGAAAATTACACCACAAAGGTGCATGGTGAAACCAACTTCACTGTCAATTTTTGGTGCACCGTTCTAGTGAATGGAGGGGAGGGCCATGCTTTATTGAAAATTTTTGGTGGAAAATTTGCATCGCTCTGACAAATGAAATGAACAGAAAATTTCTGGTGGAAAACTTGCACTGGTCTGGTAAATGAAGGTACAAGCTTTATTTAAAATTAAGCTTTATTGAAAATTTCTGGTGGAAAATCTGCACCGTTTTGGTGAACGGATGGGCAAGTTTTTCGGAACAATTTTGGTCTTCAATTTGCATCCTTCTGCTGAATAGAGCAACAAATTTTAATAATAATTTCTGGTGTAAAATTTGCACCATTCATGATAGGAGAAGCTAGCTATATTGAAAATGTCTGATAGAAAATGGAAAAAGGAAATCTGCACGAATCAGATTGGAGAAGCAATTTTTATTGAACACTAGCTGAGTGTGCCCGGCCTTGCTCGGGATTCAATATTAGCATGAGTTTATGCGCCAATTAAAAAAAAAAGCATGTTTTATTTTACGTAGCCCCCCTGCCCCTCTTATCTAAGGGGCTACCCCCTATGACCTCCACATGCCAAATTTGGTTTCATTTGCTTGATTAGTTATCGAGTTATGCAGAAATTTCTGTTTCATTTGTATGGGAGCCCCCCTTTACAGAGGGGGAGGGGTTTCAAACCATCATAAGAACCTTTCCTTGTCCCAAAAACCCCTGCATACAAATTTTCACGCCGATCGGTTCTGTAGTTTCCGAGTCTATAAGTCTATAAGACAGACAGAAAGACAGACAGACAGACAGACAGAAATTCATTTTTATATATACACTGGAGTCGCTTTTTACGCGGTTTTTTTTACGCGGATTTCGGAATTTACACGGTTTTTTTTTTACGCGGATTTCGGAATTTACGCGGTTTTTTTTACGCGGATTTTGGTTTTTTTTACGCGGATTTCAGAATTAACGCGGTATATCGTTATACACTAGAGTCGCTTTTTACACGGTCTTTTTTTACGCGGTTTTTTTTACACGGATTTCGGAATTTACGCGGTTTTTTTTACGCGGGACGTATCACCCGCGTAAAAAGCGACTCCAGTGTACATAGATAGATTCTCGATGAACATTTCAAATGGTCCTATCTGCTTTGATCGATTCTCTTCATCGACTTTCTCTTTTCATAGCCACTGCAATGCACACAGATTTCGCGCTAATTCTACCACATAGTTTGATAAAGGAGGTTCTTATCTATCATCCAAAACGTCAAATACAACAGGGAAAGGTTTTGCAGCCGAGTTATTGACGAAAGAGAAAGTCGATGAAGAGAATCGATCAATGCAGATAGGACCTTTTGAAATGTTTATCTAGGATTAACGGTGGAAAATTTACACCATGCTGATCAATGAAATTTTTTGGCAAGTTTGTATTGAAAATTTCTGATGTAAGATTTGCAACAATCTGCTGCATGGAGGGGCAAGCTAAATTGAAAATTCCTGATGTTAAAATTGCACAGTTCTGGTGAATGTAGGGGCAAGCTTTATTGAACATTTCTGGTAGAAAAACTGCAACGTTTTGGTGAATGGACGGACAACATAAACTTGACTTCTGAAAAGAAACTCAAGGGTATTGAATTCTGAGGACTGTTCCAAAAGAAAAGATTTCTGGGAATGATTGCATTATTCTGCGAATAATTTTTAGTGCATCCTGCAGAGAGTTCCAAGATAATTCCGAAAAGAATACTGAGAAAACGGCTTTACTTCCTTTCCTAAGGAAGGTGTGATGAGAGATGTTATGCCTCAGAACATCCCGGCGGCGTCGACTGGGATTGAACCCAGGCCTGCTGCGGTGAGAGGCAATCACGCGTACCACTACACCACCGGCGCCGCTAATTTCGCGGAATTGAGTAAATGTGAACGTCTCTATTGTATTTATTGATCGCGTTCGGGAGATTAAATATGTGGACGTGATTTTTTATGATAAACTTAAATTCAATGTGAGACAATGTCATCAAGAAAATTGTCAAGAAGTAATGGAAGTCTATGTCGTTTGAAACCTAATTTAACTATTTGCTGTAAAATACAGCTATACAAATCAATCTTCTCTCCTCATCGAGATTTTCGCGCTTCCATTTTATGTTCGGCCAATGAAATACAAATATCTAGATTACAGTTCATGCAGAGTAAAATAATGCGTATAATTTGAACTTAATTTTTTAAAGATGTAATAGGGTAGAGCACTACTTCGAGCAGAAAACATCAAATAAATCCATTGCGTTTGGTACGATACTTTAGTCAATGAGAACGCGGGATATGAATGTTTACACCCTTCTTCTTCTTCCGCACATTTCAAGCTTATTGCGTATGGCATATTAGCTTATTGCGTGCTCTCAACTTAGTGTTCAAGTTTCACTTCCACAGTTATTAATTGAAAGCTTTCGATGCCTGTACCATTTTTGCATTAGTATAATTGTGTGGCAAGTACAATCATACTCTATGCCCAGGGAAGTCGAGAAATTTCCAACCCGAAAAATTCCTAGACCGAACCGGGAATCGAACCCAGCCACCTCCAGCATGGTCTTGCTTTGTAGCTGTGCCTTTGCCGACTGAGCTAAGGAAGGCCACCAATTTTTCTAAAAAACAAAAAAGAAACGCTCCGACCCAATAAATTTTTATCTTCGTTCGATAGGCCGAAGTGAATTCAATGGCGTTGTAATGGCGTTTCAATGCACTAGGTCTAATTTAGAATCCGTAGGCCGAGTTTGGGGTCAAGAAGCAGTGTAAGATTTTTAACATTATCAATATCGGAAAGATTAATAAATTTAGAAGTCATCTGCAGTGAACACATTTCATTTTGTGAAAAAAAAAATCCACTCGAAAAATAGAGGCAAAGGGCAGGTTGTACTTAGTAGGCCCAAAATTCAAGGCGAAGTGGACTGTACTGGGCGGGAGCGAACGGAGTTGGCTAGCGTCAATCGAAGTTCTAAACTCAGGAGCTCTGAAAAGAACTGGGGGTTTGACGCTGCTCTCCGGGACACCAATGGACATGCAGCTGCAAACGGATGCTCGGTTGGATTCAAACTTAACTTAAGCACGGTACTGCGGGGATTTTTATAGAACGGCACCGACCGTTTGCTCGTTGCTAATTGGTCGACGTTTTCTCCTCTCTTTCGGCGGTAGGCGGAACATCCTCCCCCCGGTTGAGAGATCTCAATACCCTTTGGAAGTCGGAGGGCTTTGACGGGGATCATTATTCTCGATGGGCAGAATGGACACATACGTGGTTCCATTCGCGAAGACATCAAGTGCTCGGACCAGGCCGTCGGTTCCAGGATAGATGGCTACGATGCGACCTAACTTCCAGTTGAGTGGTGGTTGGTTACGATCGTGAAGCAACACGATCATGTCTTCCCGAATGTTCGGCTTCAATTGTCGATTTTTCTTCCGAGGCTGCAGGGTATTCAAATAATAATCGCGCATAAGTTGGAGATGTTGCCACCGTGTCAAGCGGGATGTTTTGACGTTCTCCAGGGATGGTTCAGCTGGGGCAATCAGCGGTCGTCCAATCAAATAATCCGCTGGAGTTATCACCAGCGGGTCCGCCGGGTCGTTGGAAATTGCGAACAATGGTCGGGAGTTCAAGACGGCCTCGATTTCTGACAGGATCGTACACAATTCCTCGAACG